AGACTAGTTTAAGCCTGTTTTCTAGCTATACTTCCAACTCCCAGGCCAACAAACCTTATATACTTTATGACATGACATAACATATGTTACAAAACTGACTGTACATACTGTATGTCCGCTAAACTTATCGCTAATATTAATAAATAGCTAAAGAATTTGAAACCGTAAATAAGTTTACAATAAAAATAATTTAATCAATTAATAGGGAGTAATAAAATATAATTTATTTTAACATATTTAATACGATTAATAAAGCTATTTGTGCCTAACATTGAACTTGGGTTAAGGTTTTAAATTGAAAATTCTTGCAAAGATTTTAATCATTATTTTATGAATATTTCCTTCAAATGGTAACAAATTAAATCACATGACATTTGTGTCCAATAAATGGATTAATTAGTGAAGTATTTTATAACATAAACGATAATAAATACGACATTTTTATTGAGGAAAAACTTTATGTCGGATCAGAAATGTGTTTTATTTTTCATATTCAAGAATTGCTTAATTCACGCAAAAATTATAATTAATACTTCAGATTACTGTAAATATTTGGTTCACCAAAATAAATACATATTTATTAAACAATATTAATATTTTTGCTATTTCTGCAATTATCTAATACTCGTTATTAAAAACTAATTAATTATTGTTTCAGTAATTTATATCTCAAATCCAGATCTACTACTTTTATTATCGTTTGTATCGTTTTTGCTGTAAAACTACTGTCAGATACTAGATATGACCAGTTTTCTCACAGATTTAATTGGATTTTATTGTCATTAATATATCATTCAAACGCCAGACTTCCTATTTTTTAGTCCATTTTTTCGTAGACTATATTTCAGACATCAAATATTTTTCGCTAATAAATTAAATCAAAAAAATATTTGTAAAGAATATCTCGCAATGAATAACAAGCGATAAAAAACTTTTTCCCTAATCTTAACGACTGTATCAACCCATAGATCGCAGCCCAAGGACTACACCATTCAAATTGAATGCATTTTGTGGGTTATAAGTGCAGTTAAATTGCTTATTAAATGTATTTACTAATCAACAGCATTTCACATTAGATTCTCGCAGTTTTCACTTGTATTTATACCCTGAGTCTATTTCCTACACACCTTCCCCTCTTACTTAACTTATGGCACCCCTTTCCCCGCAAAGAGTACAGTCCTATTGGTGACGACATTTATAAAACATTTTATAAAGTTTATATTATAAACACATTTTAAATATAATTTAATGTCAAATTGCTATTATTTATATGGGCATGACTTCTGGGTATTTGTGTTAATAATTAAGCATTTGTAGTATTTTATTATAAATTCTGGTCATAAAAATGGTGTGCTCTGGGAATAGGAGTAGTGAAATAACTGTATGCTATTTAGTTTGATAAAATGTTAAATGGGAAAGGTTATTTATTTCATGGACATACATCCCGATTAATCGCTGCGATAAATGTAAGAATACACTCTAACCTATGGATTCAATTGCATGAGTATTCACAGGATATTGAGCCAATATTACTGACAATTGCAATATTTATATACAATAATAGTAATGGTTTTAAAAATATTCTGTGCAATGAATTCCGGAATACCTCTACACTTAGGGGTGAATCTTGAGTACAATATTTGCTGTAAACGTTAGAATTGCACTAAAAAACTAAACTCTTATATAAAAACCTCAATGACTATGGCATTGAGAATATATTTGAAAAGTTAGAGTAATTATTAATAGAAACTACGAGAAAGAGTACTTTCTTTCGTCATTCAATATGTGGTGAATATTACATAATATGTATGTTTTGCTAATATGTTGTGGAAAATAATAAACTTTGATTTCAAACACACATTTGGTTTAATCACATGAACTGATTTTCTCGCAATGATAACTTATCATTGTTAATATGATTTCATTTATAAATTATAAATACTGTGCTGTACAGATATCATTATTGTGTATTTATCTGTTAATTATAAAAAACAATTAAAACTAACTGCAGTTGAAATGATATAAACTTAATTATTGTCTGAGTTTTTAAAAATTTAAAAACAAGTCATTTAACGGATATAATGAGTAAACTTTGAAACACCAAGACATTTATTGTCTAAATAAATAAGTGTATGAAATATATTTTGTGATTAAAAGTCTTATATTAAAAGCTCATCAAAAACTAGTGAATGATTTGCAACGTTGAGTACAATTGAGTACAAATTCTGGTGTTATATAAAGAATATCTAAAAATAATTGTCTAATAAATCATTCAAAATCCGAGTCTCCAAAGTGTCTCAACATATCATTGCATAGACATAATGACCATCAAAAGGGATCGGAGTTTGAGCACTGGTAGTAAGTATCACTTACCACTGCCTACCGGTCCTTATCCTAACATAGGATACATGGATCTGATGACCGGAACAAATAAAACGGATGGCGTCTTAGTCCGCATACTGTATCCGATGTCGGATCAGACCATTAATATCAAAGACAGGGTCAATGAGTGGCCTCTTTGGACACCACATGACAAGTACAGAACCGGTTACCTAAAGGTGGTGCGCATCCCGAACCCACTGATCCGAGTGGTCACCGCCTTGAGTCCCAATGTATTCATACCTATATTAGAGGCCGTGGATCCACTTCGTGGTGATAACGACCGCCAGTTGCCAGTGATTATCTTCTCGCACGGCATCGCCAGCTGTCGGACTACATACTCAAGTGTTTGCACCGAATTAGCCTCTTATGGGTTCATTGTTTTTGGTGAGAATCCTATCATATTGTCTATTACTGACAAGTAATGCTATTTCAATGCTTTTGTTTTTGAATATTCTGTGAGATTCATGAATGAAAACACGATTTCAATTAATTATTAACACTACTGAGATTATAATCAACACATCAATGATAGACTAGTATATGAATGCAATGCTTATTGTCTTTTAGTGTATAATGAGATGAACTCTATTTTATTGATCATTTGATTACATGTATAATGAATTGTATGATATGTTTGAATGATTTCAGTCGTGACTTTTGGTGTTAGAAAAGTGCTGAGGAATAGATCTCACAGTGAATACAATTACAAGTATAATATTTTTGTGTACTTTTTCTTTTAAGATTAAATCAAAGCAATCAATCGTCTAAAAAAGTTTTATGTATTAACAGTTAGTTTTGTTTGACATATGAACACAACTTAATAAACAACTATAACTATAAAAACTAATTGTATTTAATTTGTGTAGCGGTTGAGCACTGGGACGAGTCAGCCGTCACCACCTCCTACCCGTCCGACGACGGGTCCTTCAAATGGATTCCTTACAGACACGTCAAGCTATTTCACAACGACTTACCCATACGTCAGGAGCAGCTCGACCTAAGAGTGGCTGACATCAAGAAGACCATCGATTTGTTAAATGATATTCAAAACGGGAATCAAATCCAAAATGTGTTACAAAGCGAGTTCAAGATGGAGAAGCTCTCGGGAGTCCTGGATCTCAACAAAATCATACTAATGGGCCATTCATTTGGCTCATCCACTGTCCTCAAGAGTCTATTATCGTTAGATTGTGTCAAACTAGGCGTGTGTTTGGACGCCTGGATGTATCCCTTGCAGGGCATAGACTTGAGTCTTGTCAAAAACCCCCTAATGTTCATAAATATGCAAACCTTTCAAATCAAACCTAATCTTAAAATGATGACCGAATACATAGGAAAGGGAGGCATCAATACGGATGACAGGAAAGTGATAACTATAAAGGATGCCAAACATACGGATCAAAGTGACATTCCCTTCACTTTACCACAACCTATGCTCTGGTTGTTTGGCATGAAGTCAAAAGTGGATCCATTTGTAGCCCTTGACGTGACCACAGCCCTCGCCCTCGACTTCATAACAGATAAATTGAAATGTGAGTTCATTTGTAGTCTAAAAATGCAATTGTAATAATAATTGTCTTTATTTTATTTGAATAGTAAATCTCAAAACAGACAAAAAACAATTCATAGAAAAATATGGCAATACATTGATTGATGGAATTGATCCCATTTGGTGGCAATAATGTCATCTAGGATTATAGTAAATTTAAATTATATCTGATATATACAATATATAGGTATAAATATTATATAAATTATGACACTTGATTCAAAACAATCATTAAAACACTTTAAATTGAAAACTTGTTTATTATGAAATCTGTTGTAACTATAATTATACCTTAATTATATAAAATGTTTACCAAGAACTTTCAACACATTTTGTGCATAAGACAGTATTGATATAAATTGTATAAACTTTACAGCAAAGGCTTACAAATATTGTGTGCAATTAATTAATACCTCTACAATAGGAGTACTTCTATACAATATTCTTGTGTATAATATTTTGCCCTAAACAGTAGTTGTGTACTGAAATCTTAGATATTAAATATTTTAATTTAAAACACTCAATGAAAATGGCATTGAGAGTCAATTGGATAAGTTTAAGTAATTATTACCGCTAATAGAAAGAATACTTTCAGTTATCACTTAATATGTGGAGAATGTCATGTTTTTCTAATGCCTTTGAAAAATTCAACTTTGATTTCAATTTTAAAGTCTAAAAAGTTTTTAGTAAAAACACATTTGGTTTGATTTCAATTTTAAATATACATGAACTGAATTACCCTTTATTATTATCATTGTTATTTATATAATAAATACGGATATCATTATCGTTTTATCAGTTAATTATGCAAACAATTAAAAATAGTTTTGTTTGAATTGATATTAAATAAATCAAAGATATTTCAAACATGTCGTTAAGCGGATAAACTAAATAAACTTTGAAACCATGTCTCAAAGACACTAATATCTACATAGAAAGTTTAAAAGTCTTATAATTATCTTATATCTCATCACAAACGTGAGTACTATTTGAACGTTGGGTACATTCATAGAGTAAATTCTGGTGCTAAATAAAAACATAAAGAATCTAAAATAATTGTCTAATAAATCATTTCAAATCCAAATCTCCAGAGTGTCTCAACACATATTCACAAAGATATACTGTATTTCCACTGACATAATGACCATTAAAAGGGATCGGAGTTTGAGCACCGGTAGTAAGTATCACTTACCACTGCCTACCGGTCCTTATCCTAACATAGGATTTGTGGATCTGATGACCGGAACCGATAAGACCGATGGTGTTTTAGTCCGCATACTGTATCCAATGTCGGATCAGACCATTAATATCAAAGACAGGGTCAATGATTGGCCCCTTTGGACACCACATGACAAGTACCAAAGAGGATATCTAAAATTGGCTCAACTCCCGAACCCATTGACGAGATTGATCAGGGCCTTTATTCCCAATATATTCATCCCTATATTAGAGGCCGTAGATCCACATCGTAGTGATGATGACCACCAGTTCCCAGTGATTATCTTCTCGCACGGAAACGCCAGCTGTCGGACCACTTACTCCAGTGTTTGCACAGAATTAGCCTCTTATGGGTTCATTGTTTTCGGTGAGAATACTATTATAATTCATAAACAATATTATTCATATAATTTCAATTATTTTCAATATTCTTTGAGATTGAATGAATGAAAACAAGTATTTGTATATTAATTGTTTGGAATATCTTTTATATACTTAAGTAACACACGAGTGATAGACTTGTATATGAATGAAATGCTTATTGTCTTATTGTGATGCTTATATAACTGAACTCTATTTAATTGATTAATTGATTAAATTTATAATGGATTGTATGTATAAGTGGTTTAATTCGTGACTTTTTAGGGGTTTCTAATAAGATTTTGTAAGTGTTAAGGAATCTCACTCTGAATACTATTACATTTGTATAACATTTTGATTACTTTTTCTCCTAAGATTAAATCAAAGCAATCAATCGTCAAATGAAAAGGTTTTTGTGTATTAAAAGTTAGTTTTATATGATATGTGAACATAAATTGAGAAGAAAATTGTTATAAATAAATAATAAATAAATATTTATTTTGTTTAGCGGTTGAACACCGGGACGAGTCTGCGGTCACCTCCTCCTACCCGTTCGGCGACGGATCCTTCAAATGGATTCACTACAGACACGTCAAGCTATACCACAACGACCTACCCATACGTCAGGAACAACTGGATCAGAGAGTGGGTGACATTCAGAAGACAATTGATTTATTACATGACATCCAAAAAGGAAATAAAATCCAAAATGTGTTAAAAAGTGAGTTTCAGATGGAGAAGCTCTCGGGACTTCTGAATCTCAACAAAATCATACTAATGGGCCACTCGTTCGGGTCGTCCACTGTCCTCAAGAGTCTATTATCGTTAGATTGTGTCAAACTAGGCGTGTGTTTAGACGCCTGGATGTATCCCTTGCAGGGAATGGACTCGAGTCTTGTCCAACAGCCCCTACACTTCATAAATATGCAAACCTTTCAAATCCAAAGAAATCTCAAAATGATGACCGAATACATAGGAAATTAGACGCCTGGATGTATCCCTTGCAGGGAATGGACTCGAGTCTTGTCCAACAGCCCCTACACTTCATAAATATGCAAACCTTTCAAATCCAAAGAAATCTCAAAATGATGACCGAATACATAGGAAAGGGAGGCATCAATACGGATGACAGGAAAGTGATAACTATAAAGGATGCCAAACATACGGATCAAAGTGACATTCCCTTCACTTTACCACAACCTTTGCTCTGGATATTTGGCATGAAGTCAAAAGTGGATCCATTTTTGGTCATCGATGTGACCACAGCTCTCGCCCTCGACTTCATTTCAGATAAATTGAAAAGTGAGTCCATTTGTTGTCTACAAAATATTTTCTTTATTACTATAAATTGTCTTAAATTTATTTAATAGTAAATCTCAAAACAGACAAAAAACAATTTATAGAAAAATATGTCAATACATTGATTGATGGAATTGATCCCATTTGGTGGCAATGATTTCATCTAGGACTAGTAGTAATTTTTAAATTAACTGATATATACAATATATAATTTTTATAATAATAATAAATATTAGGTATAAATATTATTGTATATAAATTATAGCATTTGATTCAAATGTGGCGAAAGTCATTAAAAAATTTATATTCAAAACATGTTTATAAAAATGAAAACTATTTAAATAAATATCTTAATGATGACTATATTATTATTATTGCAATTATAAGCGAAATCACTGACTATTTATTTAACTATCACTAGTATCCTTGGTATAAAAAACTTTATAAAAATAGCTACAAAACTAATATCTATCACAAATAGCGGCCCATATATTACCCGGAACCCTTTGGTTTTCCTTAATCAACATTTCAATGGCATTCTGTGTCTTCATCGCCAACTCTTCAGGTGTCACATCCGGGTCATACGGAATAGGTTTGCCCACAAAAGTCTTCATTTTGACGGGAAAGCCGCCATAAAACGGCACAACCGGTAGACGCGTCCACTCGTACAGCGGCTTCAGTACACTTCGGCCCCATTTGATGGCAACGAAGGCTTCCCTCAAATTCTGGGTAAACACCGGAATGACCGGCACTTTCGCCTCAACGGCCACTTTTGCGAAGCCTATCCTATTATTCCACATCAGTTTATAGCGGTTATCGCCAAACAGTCCTTCCCTACAGCCTCCCGGCGCTATCGACAACAGGTTGCCCT